AAAAACAGAACTAACGAGATCATTAAACGAAAGGGTTTAGATTTTGTGTGAGTTACCAGAAGACAAGGGTTAAGTAAAAATGTGGATAAAAGGAAAATAAAAAAAACTAAATGAAGAAATGTCAGATAAGAAAGAATTTATGACATTGGTATGGATTGACAGCCTGCTCTACACAGCTCTTAGCTGGAGGTTAACCTGCTATGGATTGACAGCCTGTTCTACACAGCTCTTAGCTGGAGGTTAACCTGCTATGGATTGACATCTCACTCTACACAGCTCTTAGCTGGAGGTTAACGTGGTATATATTGACAGCCTGCTCTACACAGCTCTTTGCTGGAGGTTAACCTGCTATATATTGACATCCTGCCAGGGGGAATGGGTTACCATTTTCTTCCACTTGTGCTACTTAAAACCGATTTCGAAAGCACTGGCTCTACATGCCTTGCAAAGTTATGAAAAAGATTTAACTTAACTGTAGTGTAGCTTGTGTAACTGTCCTTTATGAAGAAGGTGTATTAGTAATAAGTTTTTTTTCCTATTGATATTTTTGAATTTCGAACCATGTATGTATATTAAATTTTTTTTAATGTTGTTTCCTATCGATACACAGCTCTTAGCTGGAGGTTAACCTAAACTACAATAAATGGGGTAAAGTGTCTTGCTCAAGAACACAACAGCATGACACCAGCCAGCTTCGAACTCACGTCAACCATCCGACTACAAGTCCAAAGTTAATGAACCACACTGCCCTTCACTATACTGTAAATCATAGTAAAAATTTTATAAATACAGAAACAGAAGCAAGAAAAATGGCTGTGCTTAAGCTAGTATTTCTTTTTATTAAAATGACTTCATTTTGTTTTTATAATTTGACTGAAAGCCTCTATAATGCTACTTTATATTATCTAGTCCTAAGTTATTACCTTCCTGTGAGCAAATGTAGATCTGTGCTTGCCACACTAGAAGATTCAGACTCAAAGCTACAACAACTATCACAGTTTTTGCTAGAACTGTCTGTGAAATCTGTTTCGACTGACATGTTTCCATTTGCTCCTCTTCTTCCACTATGTTGGCGAACAAGGTTTCCTGAAATTATATGCTAGTTACTTGATTTTAGTAAAAACAAACAAGAGATTATATATAATGCTGTTGGTGGTCACATGAGGTCATAAACTGTTAGGTCAGTGCTCTGATATAATCAGCTACACGGTCACTGTACTAATTCTATATTACATTGGACTTCAGTAATGTTATTAACCACATTGTCAGGTCATACACATCATACAGATCTCACCATTGCAGAGAACTAAAAACAAGAACACATTACAAGTCAATCAAACTTCCTTCATATCAACACTAGATGTAGAGGTTCTCATTAGTTTCATGCACTTATTGGGCTGTTATTGTATCAGATCTCTTCCAAATTACCCTCATTCATGAATGACAGAAGCTTTACAAGTGTTGTACGGTCACATATTGGAAGCAATAGTCATTAAAACTGTAATATGAACACACTACAGAAGCTTTACAAGTGTTGTACGGTCACATATTGGAAGCAATAGTCATTAAAACTGTAATATGAACACACTACAGAAGCTTTACAAGTGTTGTACGGTCACATATTGGAAACAATAGTCATTAAAACTGTAATATGAACACGAATTCACAACAGAAGAATATATATCATCTTCAGCTGACCTTAACATTTCCCCAAATTTCATTGAATGGTCTCATGTATAATAAATCTGATGTGAGGCTACTCCATCTATGACGTGAGACTACTCCATCTATGACGTGAGACTACTCCATCTATGACGTGAGACTACTCCATCTATGACGTGAG